GTTCTAAGGGCCCTCCCAGCTCTGACATTCTGTGTTCTAAGGGCCCTTCCAGCTCTGACATCCTGTGTTCCCATTCAGTTCTATGGTTCTATAATCCTATGATTTTACCTCTCTAGTCCTTAGTTTTAGGGAGAGAAAGCTGGTGGCATCTTGAAGGAACGTCAGCTTTGGGAGCTGGGTGAGGTGAGATGTGGGGATGATGCCATGGGAAGATGAAGATGGGGCCTGTGCAGTCTAGGAAAACCTCTAGGGAAATGTGTCTTCACTGTCCCACAGAGAAGGCATTAGTCCTGTTCAGCTTGGCCCCAGAGGGCAGAACACTAGGCCCAAGAGTGAGAGTCGTGAAGATGCCAATGGAGCGTCAGGTAAGACCAGCCGCCCCAAATCGACATGGGCCTCTGAGGGAAGTGCCAGGCGCCCCATCCTTGGAGGCCTTCGAGTAAAGGCTGGGTGACTGCTTAGGGGAGATTTCAGAGCAGGGGTTTTTATTCAGGACAGAGTAGGCTTGGAGGTCTCCCCACTGGTTCTGGCCATCCCCAGGCCTAGAGATCTGGGGATGATGCCATGGGAAGATGAAGATGGGGACTGTGGAATCTAGCTGGGAGGACACCCAGAACACAGGATGTCAGAGCTGGGAGTCACCTTAAAATATAGATTCCACGTCAGAGAGTTCCACCAGTAGCACCACCTTCTGCCCAACATAGCAAATGCCCCCATTTCAAATCAAGTGTCTTGAATAGTCACGCAGGTCGTAAGTGACAGATCTGGGTTTCAAAACCCGCTTTTCTCATTGCAGATTTAGTTGCCTGCTGACAACACCATGTGAGGTGGGATTTGAACCCAGTACTCTGTCCCCTCTCTCCTCCTGGGGCCACATGGTCTTTCCTCTTCCTCTCCCACCCCCAGCCTCACTCTGCTTCCCCTGCATGAGCAGGCTGGGGGACATCACTCTCTTTTCTCTGCTTGGCCTCCCACATTCCCACCTCTAGCTGGCCTTCCTCCTCTGGGGTTTCCGTCTTCATCTATTAATAGCTGGGAGCCCCCGGCTCAGCTTCTGTTTATCTGCTGACCACCAGGCAGGCCCAGGCCTCGGGGCCTCAGCCCCACTCCCTTTTCCTGGAGGAAGCAGCCGCCGTGGGGTTGTATGGGGCGGGGCAGCCAGGCCTGCTCAAGGAGGCGGGGCAGGGCCCTGGTGGTTCAGGCACCTCAGCCTTCCCCCAGTGCCCCTTAGTTGGGGGATGGGGCCCAGGGCACCGCCCACCACAGAGAAATTCTTAGAGCTCAATGGGCTCATTCAGTGAGTGCAGCAGCCAGGGCAATTTTGAGAAGAAAATAAACATTTCCTTCCACTATTTTCATTGGCCACCAGACAGCGGCAGAAAGCATCTCAGGTTTCCAGGGGCGGCCCCTTGGCTCGGCCTCGGGAAGGGCGTGTGGGCAACGTCGATGGAGCTGGCGCTGCTCTGTATTTGGGGGTGGTGGTCCTGGGGACACGGGGAGGGCTCTGGGCTATTGATGGGCCTTAAGATGTTTCATCAGCTCCTATGCCAGTGAAAGGCAGAGAGAGGGAAGCAGTTCGATGTGTCAAGGCAAAAAACCAACCCCCAGAAGTCAGTCAATCCCAATTCTGCCCTTAACTCACCACACGAGGTCAGGCAAATCACTTACCCTCTTTGGCCTTGACTTTCCTTGTCTGTAAAATGGGAGCATTGTGCTAAATGGTCTCTTAAGGGCCCTGGGTTCAAATCCCATCCCTGACACTCAACCAGCCATGTAACAGTGGGCAAGTCACCTAATATCTCTGAGCCTCAGTCACCTTATCTTCAAAAAGGAGGAAATAAGAGACCTACCTCACCAGGTGCTTGTGATGATAATAATAATTACATTAATAATAGCTACCATTCATATAGCTCCTACTGTGTGCCAGGCACTGGGCTAAACACTTTACAAATATTATCTCATTTAATCCTCACAATTACCCTAGGAGATAGGTGCTGTTATTATCCCCATTTTATGGTTGAGGAAACTGAGGCAGGCAGAGGTTAAGTGACTTTCCCAGAGTCACACAGCTAGTATCTGAGGCCAGATTTGAAACAGGTTCCTGTTGTACATGGACAGCTCTCTGGCCACTGCTGCCCCTACAGGCCATAGAAATGACAGCTATTGCTATGGCCTGTGGCCCGGTCCAGCTCTGACATTGTCTTCTAAGTCTGGGATCAGAGAGTTCAGAGCAGGGTGGACCATATCAGTCCCCCCAAATCTGATACCCCACTTAACAGCAGAGAAAACCGAGGCCCAGAATGGCTAAGTGACCTTGCCTAAGACCATGTAGCCAGTTAGTGGCAGAGCTGGGGCTCAGACCCAGACCTTTTCCTTCTCCATCTATCACTCTTTCCACCAAAGTGACCTGGAGCCAGTCACTTCTACTATGTTTAGAACATAGAATGTTGTAGATGTTTAGCAGTGAACCAGCAAGCATTAAGCACCTACCAGCTACCAGTCTGTGTTAGGCACTGTACAGGAAAAAACTAAGAATGAAACAACCCCTCCCTCCTGGGAGTGTCTATTTTCTGAGGAGGAAAAGGAAGGGAACGTGGGGGGGAGGGGATAATGAACTTTTTTTTTCTGGGTGAGGCGGTTGGGGTTAAGTGACTTGCCCAGAGTCACACAGCTAGTGAGTGTTATGTGTCTGAGGCCGGATTTGCACTCAGGTCCTCCTGACTCCAGGGCCAATGCTCTATCCACTGCACCACCTAGCTGCCCCAGTAATGAGCATTTTTATAGCACATACTGTGTGCCAGGCACTGTGCTAAGCATGTTTTACAAATTACCCTGGGAGGTAATATCCTCTTCCTGTGTCCTAAGCAGTCTGTGAATCTTCCTTAGTCTCACAGGCTGGAGGAAGCTCTGGAAGCAGATACAGCCTGGCAGCCTAGGAGATTTTAAACTTTTGGTTCTCTGAAGATCCCTTTCAGCACTAACATTCCGTGTCCTAGGCCCCTCCCAGCTCTGACATTCTGTATTCTAAGGGCCCTCCCAGCTCTGACATTCTGTGTTCTAAAGGCCCTCCCAGCTCTGACAGTCTGTGTTCTAAGGTGCCTTTGATTCTGACATCTTGTGTTCTAAGGTCCCTTTGATTCTGACATTGTGTTCTAAGAGCCCTCCCAGCTCTGATGTTCTGTATTCTAAAGGCCTTCCCAGCTCTGACATCCTGTGTTCTAAGGGGCCTCCCATCTCTGACATTCTTTGTTCTGAGGGCCCTCCCAGCTGTGACATTCTGTGTTCTAAAGGCCCTCCCAACTCTGACAGTCTGTGTTCTAAGGTCCCTTTGATTCTGACATTCTGTGTTCTAAGGCCTCTCCCAGCTCTGACATCCTGTGTTCTAAGGTCCCTTTGATTCTGACATTCTGGGTTCTAAGAGCCCTCCCAGCTCTGATGTTCCACAATCTCTGGCTTTTGTGTTGTTCTTCTCAGGTTGTCTACTGCTCTGGAGCCTCCCCCAGGGCCCCTCACTCTTCTACAACAACCCTAAAAAGTCTGCCCTGTTTTACTGATCAGTTCTCTTTCCTTTACCAGGCACATCTGAGTTAAGTCCGTTCTCGGATCCCCGCCAGTTCGATCGCTCTTTCTCCAGCCTGCCGGGCCTCCCAGAGCCCAGGTTTTCCGACCCCAGGATGCATTACCCGGGGGCCATGTCGGCAGCCTTCTCCTACACGGCCAACCCCTCCCCCACTGGCATTGGCGGCATCAGCATGACCAGCATGCCTGCGGCCACCCGCTTCCACCACACGTACCTCCCCCCTCCCTACCCGGGCTCCACCCAGAACCAGAGCGGGCCCTTCCAGACCAACCCCTCCCCCTACCACTTGTACTACGGTACCTCCTCCAGTTCCTACCAGTTCTCCATGGTGGCGGGTGGGGAGCGCTCCCCCACCCGCATGCTGTCCTCCTGCACCAGCACCGGGCCGGGAAACAACCTCATGAACCCCAGCCTGGCCAGCCAGAGCGACGGCGTCGAAGCTGACGGCAGCCACAGCAACTCGCCGACCGCCATGACCGCCCCCGGAAGAATGGACGAGTCAGTGTGGAGGCCATACTGATGGGCGCCGTGGAGTGTCCTGTCCCAATCCTGACTCCCGGCCCCCATGGAGCGTCCCTGGCCCGAATCACGAGGCTCCGGGCAGGGCTTGGACAGCCGCACCGAAAGGCCCCCTCCTTCCCAGAGAGAGGACAGCCTGAGACCCAGGGAAGGAAGGAGGCCAAGCTGTCCACATGTCAAACTAGCAGGTTGGGGCGGGCGGGGAATGAGTTTTAGTTGCTGACTGCTGTGTACATAGGACCCGTGATCCAAGAAACAACCAAAGCATCATGGAAGGGGAAGCCCATGGAAAACCTGGGCTCGGCCAGCGAGAGGCTGTGTGACCTCAGGCCGAGTCCCTTGCCCGTCTGATCTTCAGTTTCCTCTTCTGTAAAATGAGGGAGCTGGGCCAAAGGACCTCCAAGGTCCCTCCAGCTCCATATCTTATGTTCTAAGGTTCCCTTCAAACACCAACATTCTTTTCCCAGCGTTCTAAGGCGCCTTCATACTTTAATGTTCTGTGTTCTGATGTTCCCTGTTCTAAGGTCCCTTAGAGCAGCTCTGATGTTCTGTGGTCTAAGATCCCTTCCTTCTCTAGCCAATGTTCTAAGGTCTCTTCTAGCATTCCATGTATGTTTTATGATTCATTTCATCCTGAATCCCCAAAGAGAAGGCAAACTTTCCCCTTCCCTCCCACCCAGCAACCTCAGACTTTGTTATTCCCGGTTCCCTTTTCCAAGGCCTGAATTATACACACCAAAGAGTGTTTGACTCCTTAGGACAGGGAGTGTACCTCTTCTTGAGTGATACCCCAGAAGAGCACTGTCAGTCACCAGGAAAGCCTTCCACCTGCTTAGCTTTGTGCTCCTGCCTCATCTGGTCAGGTGCCAGATGGCCTCTGCTCCTGGCCAGTGTCCCCTCACACTTTGAGAGCCGAAGGATGCCCCCAAGACCCTCCCACACCTCCCTGCTCCCTGCCTTTGCTGAACCCCTTCCCTCTTTCACAGCCTGGGCTGGGACCTATAGGTGACAATGTCAGGCCAAGGATGCTACAGGACCGTGGCTTTAGGGACATCCAGTTCCTAGTGATACTGAGCCCAGGGCTTCCTCCCTTGGGACAGGGAGTCAGGCAGGTGTTTGGTGGGAAGGCCTCCCAGTAAAGTCCACACACAGGTCCCATGGCTGGGTACTAAAGGCACCACCTGCAGGCCCCGCTGCAGCTCTTGGTGGGCCCTGGAATGGGTCCCAGAACATCCATTCCTCCTCTGAGCATCTTACCCACCCAAGGAGAGTGCCTTCCCAGAGGCCTTGGGGTGAAGGACCATTAACACCAGCCAGAGAGAGCCATAAGGTTTGGAACCAGAGTTTGGCCTGGACAAACCTCACCTACTCACCTTTCTCATTTGACTGTTTCTGTTGGGGGAAGAGGGAGGTAGGTGAAGTTTTCCTTGTAGGGCAACTCTGTACATGTAAGGTGGGTGAGGAGGGGTGAGGAGCAAAAGCAAAGAGATCTTTCACCCCAACATCGAGTGTGAAGGTGCTCAGGGAGGCACAGGGAGCTCTGAACCAGAGACCAGAAGGCTCACCTTAACTGGAGCAGGGGATTAGCTCGAGGTGGCACATTTCTGTCTTCAGTTTCTTCCTTGGAACAGTGAAAGGGGTTGGATTGCATGACCCCTAAGGTGCTTTTTCCACCCTAATTCCATGACTTCTATGCTATCTAAGGCCCTGACAGTCTGACATCTCTGCCAATTCTCATATTCTATGTCCCCCCCCCCCTCCCCCGCCCTTACCTTCTGCTCTAGACACTTTATTGGAAGGGCTTTTCCAGCTGCAGCATGCTGTGACCCGTCCGTCACTCCGTGTGGGAAGTTCCCATCTAGCTCTGATATTGTTCTAAGGCCCCTTGAGGTTCTGACAGTCTATGTTCTAAGATCTCTCCCAGCTCTGACACTCTGTACTCAGGGCTCTCCCAGCTCTGACATTCTGTGTTCTAAGGACCTTCTCTGTCCTACCATTTCCTGTTCTCAGGGCCCTGCCAGCTCTGGCATTCTCTCCGAGTTTCCTCTAGGCCAATTCTCTATTTCCTACCCACAGTGTCGTCAGCACCAGGTTCTTTTGTTATAGAAAATGACTGTTAAGTGAAAAGAATTTGGGAAGTATCTTGTACAGGACCTATCAATTGTGCCTCAAGTTTGCAGTAAGCAGATAAGAAAGCACTTATTTCTTTGAACTGTTTCCTGGGGTGTGGAAATCATTTCTAACAGGAAAAAAAAAGACCCTTTGTTGTATTGGGGTTTGTTGCAATGGGATTGCCCACCCCCCCCCAAGCTCATGGCCTGCTGGTAGGAAGGCTTCCTTTGATGTAGGGAGCCGTTAGGAAGAGGTCATCTAAATTCTCCCTAGGTAATTACCTTCTTGCTCTATTCATTGGAGAAGAAGACATAGTCACCACCTTCTCAATGACCCTATTTTCTTCAAACATCTTAACCCTGGCACTTTGAATTCTAAAAACCCGCTGTCCCAGGGACCACCCCACCTTGTGTGGCCACAAGCTGGTAACCTTCCTGCCAGACCAGCCCTATGGATACCAGCAGAAACATGCTTCCCACTAGGCTGTGACTTCTTCCTCATGGTCCCCGCCCAGCTCCATGCTTATCAGCCGAGGCAGGGTCTCAGACCCTGATCTCCACCTAGAAAGAGAGTAGAACAGGGCCACCCCTATACACAGCAACAGGTAAAGGGAGGCAGGGTCCAACATGCTGCTGAGGGCAGGAGACAAGTGGCCAGGTTTCTCCACCTACCCAGGCAAAGGGATACCCTACCATTCCCATGCCTGGATACCATCACTGCCCCTGTGTCTTTTGAAAACTTTGCTCCCCGACCCTGTTCCCCTCTCTTGTTGGGTGGTGAAAAATAGGCTTTGCACTGTAATTTGCTTGAGTGTCCAGAGTATTTTTAATGCTTGTACGGTAAACCTGGGTCTGCCTTCTGTACTATTTAATGGTAAAATCTGATTTTGTTGTACTTGTTATAATAATATAATTCTGAGAGACATTGAAACATCCCAACCTAAGGCCGTCTGTGTGTGTGTGTGTGCTGCCTACTGGCCCTTAAGGCAAAGCCAAGATGATGTTGCCAGTTGGTGTAATAGAGTCGAATGGAGTAGTCACTTAGGGTGACTAAAGAAGAAGTCAATTAACCAATAAAAACCCTGAGTCCATAGCCTCTGACCCTCCTAATCTGCTCTGTATGAGAAAGGGGCTGAGAAATTGGCCTTCTTTGGAGCAGCCCACCTGGATGGTGGTGCAGGGTGAGGTGGTGCCGGTGCACACCTCATTTCCCCAGACTGCCCCTCTGGCCCACTTTCTGTTTACCATGGAGCTTCTCACCTCGAACTAATAAACAAGTGGTCACAGCTCTCCCTGCTGTTCCTTCCGAGCAGCTGCTGGCTGCCTTTCAGGGCCTGCAGGCCCAGCTGTTCAAACCAGTGGAAGACAGCCCCTGATTCACTGTCAACCCTAGAACCTAGGAGGAGAGTGGAGAAAACCAGAAACTTCAAAAGCAATTAGATGTGCTCTTGACGGATGCTGTTGTTAGGACTGGCTTCTGATCAATTTTTTTGTTTGTCCTCATGCTTTTAAAATGGGCTCTCCAAAGCCCCAAAGGGATGAGGCCCTGTATCAAAACTCAGTGACCACAGAAGTCCATTTGATTATTCACCCCTAAATTGTGTATCTCCCTTCCCTATTCCCCTAAACCCTTCTAATCCCGTTCTTCCAACTGTCCCTTCTTTATTCCTTGTCTCCCCAGGCTGGGGCCAGGGAGAGGGAGAGGGTAGAGACTCCAGGGTCCACTGGTGTCTACCATTAGCTTAGGGTGGCAATCTGCAAAACAAAGATTTAAAAAAAAAAAGGGAAGGGCTCAATCAGAGGTTCCAAATTTCCATATGGCTGTGGGCTGCTTCAAGAGTTGAATGCCATCAGAAAGCAATGGGGTAGAGGGAGAGAGGTATGTGTGGATTGAGAAGGGGATGGGCTTCACCATCTCTGGGGGAATGTTACCCAGGGGGAGGGGGCCCTTGCTGCTCCCACCAGAAGCTCATCAAAGGTCTTTTCAGTTGATCTCAGAAAAAGTCTCCATACCTCCTCTCCCCCAACCCACATTCAGGGTAGTTGCCTTCTTCCTTGGGGCCAGTTAGCAATCATGGAACCACTGGAGCTTAGAAAGGGCTTGGACAAATTAATTGGCTCTTTTCACTAAAGATAGCTGCAGGGCTACATTTTCTGTGATCGCCATGTGTCTTTTGTTCATGGGTTCAAATCTCACCTCTGCCACTGAATTGTTGTGAGATCTTGGGTGAGTCACTTCTCTCCAGCTGCTTCTTCAAAAGTGACCAGTATTTGACAGACGAGGAAGTGGACTCAGAGAAATTAAGGGAATCACCCAAAGTCACACAGCTATTAAGGTCAAATGGACAATACCTGTCACAGCCAGAGTTCAAGCTTACATCAAATGATTAAAAAGTCCAGTGTTCTTTCTACAATATCATATGATTACTTAAGGCCCCTCTCAGCCCTGACATCCTGTGCTCCAAGGGTCCTCCCAGCTGACATTCTATGTTCTAAGAACTCTGTCAGCTCCAACATTCCATGTCTTAAGGGTCCTCCCACTCTGACATCCTGTGTTCTAAGGTCCCTGCCAGCTGACATTCTTTGTTCTAAGGGCCCTCCAACTCTGACATTCTATGTTTTAAAGGCCTTCTCAGCTCTGACATTCCTTGTACTAAGGGTTCTCTCAACTCTGACTTTCTGTGTTCTAAGGTCCCTCCCAGCTGACATTCTTTGTTCTAAGGGTCCTCCCAGCTCTGACATTCTCTGTTCACAGACTGACAGAATGTGAGAATGGGCAGGGACCTCAGCAGCTGCATTGTCCAACATCTGCTCAAAGGAATCCACTCTACAACAAACCTCAGAAGGGGTCCTTCATGTTCTGAAGACCTCCAGGCAGGGGCAGCCCTTCACCTCTCATTGTTAGGAAGCTGCATTGGCCTCTTAGCAACCCTTCCCAATTGTGCTGGTTCTGCCTTATCTCTTCTCAATTTTGCCCTTAGGATATTTGAAGACAGCTAGCACAGTTCCCTCCTGAATCTTCCCTTCTCCAGCATGAACACATCCCATTCCTTCAACCAATCCTTATATGACAGGATTCACGGCCATTTGCTATCCCAGTTTCTCTCCTCTCAGTTTATCAATGTCACCAGAATTGACCGCAGTATTTAAAATGAGGTATAGTGATGACAAAGGACAGTGGGACTCTCACCTCCTTATTCCTAGAAGCTGTACCCCTCCTAATACAGTCCAAGATCTCATTAGCTTTTTTTGTTAACTATGTCCCACTGTAGATTTGTATTTAGCTTGGAGTCCCTAAATACCCTAGATCTTCTTCAGATCTGCTATCTAATCATGCCTTCCCTATTACTTGTACTTGTTAGGTGATTTTTTTTGTACCCAAGTGTAACACTTTATAGTTATCCCCATTGAGTTTCGCCTGATTAGATTCAGCCCAAAGCTCTGACCTGTCAAGATCCTTTTGGACCAATGGGGGAAAAATTTACTATGAATCAAGTGAATCCAAAAAAAGCAAGAGTTGTGATCATACTGTCTGACAAAGCAAAAACAACTATTTAAAAATAAAAGGAGATAAACAAGGAAACTGTATTATACTGAAAGGAACCATAGACAATAAATCAATATCCATAATAATCTTATATATACCAAATGCTTTAGAATATAAATTAATAAACAAAATATAATCTGAGCTTCAAGAACACATAGACACAATGTGACACAGTAGCAACAGGAGACATCAATATCCCCCTCTCAGTTTTGGACAAGTCTAACAAAAAGATGACCAAAAGGTAAAATACAGAACTGAAGATCTTTTTGGGTCAACTTTGTTAGCCACCTTTGTGTCAGCAAACTTGGCGCTTATGCTGTCTATGCCTTTATCCAAATTTCTGATAAAAATTTTTAAACATAGCATAGATCATTCCACTGGAGGCCTCTTGGCATGTTGACATTGAACTGTTAACTCTTTGAGTCCAGCCTTCTAATGAATTATGTAACCCTCTAATTGCATTATCATCTAATTCATATTTTCCATTTTTTCCACACACAAAAAATTGTTTGAGATCTCAAAAACTTTGCTGAAAACCTACATAAACTATACCCATAACATTCCTGCTATCTACCAGGTTAGTAATTCTGTCAGAGAAAGGAAATGAGGTTAAGCATGACCTCTTCTTAATAATTGCCTCCCTTCCCTTCCTATTTAGATGGTTACCAATCATTCTTTTACTGATGTGTTCTAGAATTTTTCCAGGAATCTAAGTCAAGCTCACTGGCCTATAATTATCAGACTTTGTTCTATTCCCTTTTTTTTTTTTTTTGCAAACTAAAACATTTTTCCTTCTCCACTCTTGTGACACTATTCCCACTATCTGTGGTCTTCCAGATATTACTGGACGTGTGTGGGAGCCAGCTTGAACCAGCCTTTTACACCTTGGAAGCAAATGCTACAAATTAGGGCTTGATTTATAATGTCTAGACTTAAGAAAGTCTAGTCTTAATAACTTAATTAAAGTCTTAATAATGCAGATTAAACCTTAAAGTATGTCACAGTAACATTTCCCGCCAAAGGATAATTGTTAAGCATTTGCCAACACGCCACTAAAAAGCACTGGCGGTGGCTCAGCAGTCCCATCTGCCAGCTCTTTCCATATCTGAGGATGTGGTTCATCTGGGCCAAGGGACTTGAATTCATCAAAGACAGCTTGGATTCTCTTACGATTTCTTCACATCTTTTGACTCTCAACCAGGTGTATGCTGGTCAAGGTTTAACAACCAGCTTTCCAAAAATGTTATGCCTGGCACACTTTCAAGTTTAGTATGTATTGTTAATATTTTCTCCATTGCATTCTTAAGTCTAGACAATCAAAAAAAAAAAACAATGAATCAAGCCTTAATTTATAGCGTTTGCCAATTTCTGATGTATAAATGCTTGTAATGAAAATTGAGCAATTGGTCAATTCGAGTTGCCTTCAACACATTCTTGGTATCAATTCTCCATGAATCACTTTTGTTGTGAAATTTCCAATACCGAGAAAACAAAAGCAAAATCAAAACGGAGCAACTTGGCCTTCACTCTGTTGTCTGTTAGCATTGTCTTGTCTGCCCCGAGCGGATGGCCCTTCTTTGATTCTCTTTTTTTCTCCTGATAGAAATTAAAAAACCTTTTTCATTGTCCTAGGGTGCCCCTTGTCAGCCTTAGCTGAGTCTGAGTTTTAGCATTCCCAGACACTATTTTTGCAGGGTTCTGCCACACTTTTTTATCTTCATCCTCTGTGACTCAGCCTTACTTCCATCCTCTGTATATTTCTTTCTTGGATCAGAATTGGTTGGGGAGTTTCCTTTGCATCCACATTGATATCTTCAGATAGATCCCATTTTCCCGCCTTATCAGAATTGTTTCCCATTGTGTCTTCAAAATTCATTCTAGAGCATCTCTCATCCCTCCTGGGCTAACTTTTTTTTAATACATGGGATGCTCCTTATTTCCTATGAATCCTTTGAAGGTTGCTTTTCCAAGATCTAGGGTGCATGTCAGACTATGCCTAGATTTCCTCTCCTCTGTCACAATCTCTAGGAAGAAACAGCCACTTTCCCACCAGATTCCCATTATTTATACCCTAGCAACCAGTTTTTCCCTATCAGTAAGAATCAGGTTCATGATGGAATTTCCAATTCTGTTTCTCTTTCTGTTTATCTTCACCCAAATTCTCTCAGTTACACTTCTTCCTTCCTCTTTCCCTCACCTACTCCCTGTTCCTGGATTTCCTCCCATCCGTATACCTTCTTAATATACAATGCTACCGCATCTCACACCTTTTACCTATTCTATTTATTTTGAATAAGAAATGCCCATCTAAAGCCATGGATTTCATACCATTTGACCCCTCTGATACTTTTTTCTGATTTAATATATTTTTTCCCCAATTACATGCCAAAACAATTTTAAGCATTAGTTTTTTTTTTAAGTTTTGAGTTCTAAATTCTATCCCTCACTCCCTCCCTTCCCCCCCAGACTAGAATAAAAGAAAAAAAGATGAAAGAAAGATAGTGAAAAATAGCATGCTTCAGTCTATATTCAAACAATATCAGTCCTTTCTCTGGAGGCAGACAGTATGCTTCATCGTTAGTCTTTTGGGATTGTCTTGGATCGTTGTATTGCTGAGAATAGCTAAGTCATTCACAGTTCTTCATTGAACAATATTGATCTTACCATGTATAACGTTCTCTTGGTTCTGTTCACTTCAGTTTGCATCATTTCATGTAAGTCTTTCCAGATTTTTCTGAA